ATAACTGGCATGTTTTCTACTCGGTTTGAACAATACATGCGGCAACTGGGGAACACTACACAAATCCCCATGCCAAGATCCAGTGATAAAAAAAAAAAAAAACTGAATGTGTAATTCTTAAACATTATTTTTACTGTTACGTATTATCGGTTATAATACTACAGACTGTACTGTTTTGCATTTTTAGATAATTTCATGCTAATCTAATTATTTTTTCATGATTATTATTATTTTTAAATTAATTTTTCTAAACCCTAATTAACCGTAGTATATATATATAATATATATATATATATATAGTATATATATATATATATATAGTATATATATATTAGTATATAAATATATATATATATACCCCGTATCTCTCTTCTCTCTCTTTTGGTTTTTTTCATTCTCACACGCTCTCTCTCTTCAGCGTTCTCCTCTTATCTCTCTCTCTCGTTCCCTCCCTCTGTCACCGCCCGATCTTCGACGCCATCATCCCCACAAAGGCACCGCCCCACCCAACTCCAACAGTGAAGCCTCCACTTCACACCTCCTCCCCCAAACCCTTCACCGCCTCACCTCACCCCAGATCCGCAGCCCGACAGCCACCCCTTTCCCAACGCCCTCCGACTCGCTGCACGGCTAAACACCACCTCCACTGCCTCGTCTTCCCTTGCTGACCAAGAACAGTCACAAACCTCCTGCTCCCTCCTCCGTGCCACCCATTCGTGCGTCCAGCCTCAACCAATAGCCCCACGCGCCTGTAGCAGCACACTCCCATCGGTGGAGACGTTTTTCAGCCACCACACCGCGCCTTGCATCCGTTACCAGCTCTAACCCGACCCCCTGCAGCCCTTCTCCGATCTTCCCCCGCGTGTCGTTCGTCCCCACTTCCACCGCCTTCCAGCCCTCCTCTATTCATCTCGACCACCACCAAAATTCACCCACACAGTTAAAACTTACGAATTAGCCGAGCCCACCTCTCTCCGCCTCTGCTTCCCGACGCCTTCACAAACTCCTCCTCCACATACTTCATGCTCTTAACACTCTGGAGGCCTACTTCGGACCATGCCGCACACCGAGCAATACTTGCGGCTCTAAATCCAGACATAGCCGCGCTGCTGAATGCATGCTGAACCCCATCTGTACGCACTTCATTCCGAGTTTCTCGCTTTTGTTTGGCTTGTCGTCTTACTATGACACTTCCTGCCTGATGGGTATCCTTTACCCTGGCGTAAAGAGCTTGCTCGGCCGCAGAGGTTCTGCTTGCCCTTGTCGCCACTTCATCCCGCATAACCCAACACTTAAGTACTAAATGTCTAAGGCGCCCACCCCGCCCACACCCCACCCCACCACCAACAAAAAAAACCCTAACCTTTGGACAATTATCAAAATACACCACGTAAGTCTAAAATATTACAGAAGACCCCTTCATCAAACTTAGGGTGGCCGCGATAGCACCACCTTCACTCTTAGCACTCGCCTCCCTCCAAAACTCTCCCTTTTCAGAGCCTATTCGGGCGCCGCGCCTCAATCACGTCTAACCCGCCTCTCCAAGTCTACGTATCAGCAGATCAGAGCCCACGCCCCACAGCTGCTAGAGCAACCCCCCATCGTTCGTCTACCCATGCCCGAGATCAGACCAGCGGGACCCGCATCAGTTTTCGCGTGAGAAAATTCTTATTAGACTCCTCAAAGTTAAAAGGAGACTTTAGCTGTGCATCGTATGAATATCAGAACTCTGACACAACCACGTGAGGCATAAGATCCTCAAGTGTCTTCGCGCTTTGTCAACTAATTATTTATATCTACTGATGAATTGTCTGTTTTGATTATTTACTGGGAATATATGTGAAATTATTTGGATTACTAGAACTAATAACATAAAGACATGATCAGAGGAAAAATAAAGAACATGGAAAAAGAATAAACATGCGTTAGGACAAGAATATCATTTAGGCATGCCTAAGTCGACCGCCGACCTGACATGTCGACACGCGTGACAGTCGGACACGAAAGTGAAGTGCTACGACCGATCTTTCGAGTCGACGCCTTGTAAGTTAACTCGAAGGGCGGTGAGACCCGGCCGACAAGTTTTACGATTTTATTTTAGGAGTAATGTTGACACTCACCGGTTTGTCGATGATTCCGTATACTCTTGAAGGCGTCTGCTATAACGGGATCACTAGTATTTTCGATTCCCATAGTTGTAACTCATTATGATATTAGGTGTTAATTATTTAGCTAAGCATGCAATGATTTTTGTTTTATGAGCCTAATATTTAGTGTTTAAAGCATTTCAATCCAACGTTCGTGCTAGACAACGAAGATATTGCATGGAAACCGGCACTGTATGCATGTTTTATTGATTCATGATTACATTTTATGTTTCTGTGATATTTTACTGTATTTGACATGTCTTGCTTACGGTATTGCTCCAGTTATTGTGGTTGTTATTTACTGTGATATATGCTGAAATTATTTGATTACCTGGAACTAATAACATAAAACGATGATCAAGAGAAAAAAACAGAAAAAGATAAACATCGTTAGGGAAAGAATATCGTTTGCGGCAGTGCTTCTGAGTGCGACCCCAACCTGACGTAGTTGGACACGCGCTGAGTCAACACGAAAGACGGGAGGCTGTCGCTGTCGTGTGTTGTGATCAGCAGTCTTCGACGTCGACGCCTACAAGATGTTAACTGCCGAAGGGTGGTGAGGCCCGCGCCCGACAAGTCGCTAGGATTTTATGAGAGTAATGTTGACACTTCATGTCGGTAAAACTGATCACGAGTTTTTATCTAGCTAACCGTAGTCATATTGGATATATAGTTGTTGGATAATTTTATGAGTTAGAGTTTGGAAGAATTCGTAGTAACAAGGATGATTGATGAAACCGGACTGTATGCATGTTTTTACTAATCATGGATTACATTGCTGTTGTATGTGATATGTTTCTACTTATTGTGCCATGTTGTAGTGGTTAGAACCATTAGTAGCTTCATGAATTAGTGGGGCCTCGTGCGTCATGAACAAAGCCTAGGTTGGGTTTGGCGCTGTGTGACATTGTGTTAGGTGTGTTGACTGAGTCGCAGAAGGGTTTAAAGTATTTTAGCACCCATACAAAATCCAATTTGCGTCCTGAAAAGATTTGAAGGGCGGTCTTGTAGGACACTAAAAAAAATAAGCGAATAAGAGTAAGATTGAAAGCTCACTACCAAGCGATTGACAAGGCTCCGGTCATCATAATGATCTCATCTCAAGCCAACGAAGCCGCGATCATATTGGGATGAACGTGCATGAAGCAACGAAAAAGTCATTCCGCAGATGAACCTCGTCAAACGGCAGCATTTCACCGCCTCAAAAGCACACTTCTGTTCAGTTGAGATGAATTTCATCCAAGAAACGAAGTTTCATCATTGAAAATACGAAGATTCTTCCAGAAATGAACATCCGAGAAACGAACTTCATTCATTGAGATTCGAAGTTCGTCCAGAAACGAAGTTTTCGTCCAGGAAATAAGTTCGTGCATTGCACAAGACGAAGGTTTTCAGTTGAAGACATGAAGTTCGCCATTGGTCATTATTGCATTGAGACCTCGTACATAAGCCGAACCTCGTAAACTATCACAAAATTTCACGAGGCGTATATTTAAAGCAAGTGTTAATGACTCTAACTTCACCCATTTAAGGAGAGTTCAATAACCTCATTTAAATGCGGGTTAATGACCACTTAACTCCCCTCTTCATAAGGGGAGTTAAAACCCATTAACTCACTATTGAGGTCCTAAAGCCTATAATACATAGGCATTGATCAATATGAAAAGCGGAGGAGATGAGAGGCATAGTCAAAAAGCCTATCTCTCCTCCACTCTCGATGGATCTCATTTAAGGATCATCGGCGCTAATCATTTGGCCTTAGAGTGTTAAAGCCTCATAACAAGATGACAAGCCGTCATTATAATGATGAACCTTCGTCTCAAACAACAAAGCTTATTGTTGGGAATAAGATGCTACAAGCTCGTCATTGGAAATGACGGTTTGAGCTCGTTTATCTGCGACACGAGGTTCGGGAGTTCGATCATCGGAGGTGAAGTTTGTCAATGAAAATAAAGTTGTCGTCAGACTTAGAAGCTCGTCGAGTGAAGACCGAGGCCCTCGTCTGTCAGACTTGAAGCCCTGTAGCTGAAGACGGCAAGTTCATCTAAGGAAAATCACTACGAATTTGCCTTACGCAGTAGACTCATGCTATTCGAAAGACGAAGTCCGTGTAGGTGAATAACGAAGTTCATCAGACAAAGTTAGCTGAAGACAAAGTCGTACAGAAGAAGCTCGCTTAGCTGTAAAGCGATTTTCCTTATAGATGAAATCTGTTGCGTATCGAGGGCTCGTCCATTGACAAACTCCGTGTCAATCAAAGACGAGCCTCGTACGTCCATATGAGATTTTAGTTGTAACGCGCTCTGAAGACTAGTCAGCCACGTTGGGCTATCTCAGAAGCACGTTACGAGATGCCGCTGAATTTGAAGGAAGGGTAGGTTAGCGTCCCTCTACCGTGATTGTAGGCACGTCTGGTTAACGTGCCTTAACCTTATAAATAATACCACCCACACAGGAAACGTTCAGACTTTACCTACACCAGAGATCATACCCCCATAAATCTGAAATTCGAACATTGATTCTAATAGTCTAACAATACAAACCTCATAATTTTGTGTTTTGACGTCGCAACGCCGGAAGGCATTCTCGATCAACACAAGCACCACCAAATCCCACGTAAAAAAAGAAGTCCAATACCCACGTAATCCAGAGAGAGAGGCTGGGAGTGATTTGTAAGGGCGTCGTAACAAGGTGTCGACGAACAGTTTTTTCTTAAAACAACAGAATCAATCAATTTAATTGCCTCACCACCAACACGCCTCTTGATACAAGTCTTTGGGAAACACTACAATTCATCAACAGCCTTCAGCTATTTGTATTGCTTGATGCAGCGACAAAAACCATACACATTAATTATCTGTTAAGGCACTCAATCATAACCATACTTCCACCATATACATAATTTCAATTGTGATTACAATGTACAGCCTCACATATAAGTCTCATACATGTACAACATTTAAAGAAATGGGATGCTAAACTCCAAAATTCCCATCAAAAAACACACAAGAGCTGGTGGCATCAACATATACTTTTATAGTCAGAAGCAGTCTTCAGATGCTTCAGATAGTAAATCAATAGACGACTAGGATCAACTCGATAGAGACTTCTCGGGCTAGTCTTTTAGCTGGAATAAGAATATTGGGTACATATAACTATATAATAAAACCAAAAATTTAATTTACGAATTTATGAAGGAACCACATAATAACTATCAGCATAGATACCTGTTAGAGGCACCCAAAAGCAAATTTTATCGTTTCGACATCCGGCTGATCCTTGACTTACTCTTCTCAATAGGTGGCTTCCAGATAATTTCATCCAATTTGTTGCAAAAGCTCTTGTTGAACTGCAAAGAAATTAAGTGTTACCGCAATGCATGACATACAAAATGTTGAACACTCGCAGTGAACTCACTAAACCGATGCTATGCATTTGCAGCTGAGATGCACAAATTGCCAAAGAGTGAACAAGTTCACATTCCTTGAGAACGGAACCAGAAAAGAACAGCAAAGTACATGAAAATTCACTAAATGCACAATATCACAAAGATTGCAAATTTACTGAACCAGAGGGAAAAGCACTGACCTTAAGACACTCAGTGACATCTCCAGAGACTCTTTGAATTTCGACCATAAATATTGATGGTGCAACTTCAAAAATCTGCATCAATTAGGCAGAAGTTGGAAAAAAATGTAATGTTAAAATGAGTTAACGTTTTAGAAACAAAAAAAAAGGAACTCAGTTAACTAAAATTCGATGGTGGACTCACTTCCAGCATAACAGAAAAATATGTTGTTTTATCTGCTGAAAGGCCTTCCACTCTCATCTGCAGGAAGTTGTCATAAATTTACTAATTAGTTCTCATCAAAGAAAATAATAACTACAATAATAATGATAATAACAGTAACGATAACAACAACGATAATAATTATAGTAATTATTAGTATTATTTAAAAACATTTAAAATTAAAAAAGGCATGCACAGAAAGTCAAAGAACATCAACTGTCAAATTCTTATCAACAAAGCCTAAGAAAGAAGAAAAGTCTTTTTTCCCCCTTTCATGCATTCCTAATATGTACATTTTTCAAAGTAGAATGCAAGTAATTACAAATAGTATAGTGACACACTCCTCAAAAACAGTGTTTCCGCTCCAATGCAAACCAGCTTATGAGAAGTACAATGATGCTACTTCAGAGATTGAGGTATTGGCATACACTAAGAGTTGCCAGAATTCCAATATATACAGGCAAGCACATGGTACATGTATCTCTTTGTCTGGACATATTAAAGTATGCACACAGACGAGTGGTGCTAGATGCATCCCAGGGTTATCACTTAACCATTGCAACTTTTGCGACTTGCATCAACATTCGTTCATTATTAAAGTGGAGGCACAGTTAAATCAACAAGAGTGATAACTCCTACACGTACCTTGTAATTACGAATATGTGTCTTGTATCCCATTGACTGCGCAACAACTTCCATCGTAGACATAATAACTTTTGCTGGTTTGCGTGAAAGAAAGCGAGTTTGATGTTTCACATAATCCTGCAAGGACAATATAAAAGGTGATACTGGGGAGAAAAAAAAGCCAATGCATTGCTTGCAATTGTGAGTTTCCCTTCATGGTAAGCATCCAAACTGCTAATGAAATTCATCAAGATTTCTTAGGTTTCGATAGAGCATGCCAAAAATAAAATGATTGAAGAGCCAGTCCACATTGCTGGTCATGACGTACATGACTTAAAACACACAAAAGTTTAGATTCCATATTCATTTTGTTCTAGAAGTACATAGGTAAGTTCAAGAAACATGTTTTTGGATGTTCTAGAAGCTGCAAATCAGCATAACACAAGAATTTTCAATACAATTTAAAGGAATTTACTGGCGTCTTCCAAAGCCTTGGCATAAAAGCTAATGACAAGATTCATATTGCATTATTTTGCAGTATGACGCTGATTCGCTCTTATTATAATTCCATGTATAACTAATTAACATATTGGATTTTTGAGAAATTATTAAGTACTGATATTCATGGCAATTTAAAGATCTGATGGAATCAAGGCCCTAAGCTAAAGAGCATTATTAGTTTTAGTATTTGAGGGTGGGGTGTAATTTTCTTTCTTTCTTTTCCTTTTTTTTTGGTTCGTTGTTGTTTTTTTTTTTTTTTTTTTTTTTTTGGGGGGGGGGGGGGGGGGTTTTAATTTGGTAATTTATTAGTAGGAGATATTCTTGTGAAAAGACAGCTAACAATCACAAAATTGCTTACTTCTCTTCGGTCAAACAGTGATGAAAGGTTCAGTCCTTGGGATAAAATAATAAGATCAAATGCGTTAAGAATAAGGGGGCGTGATTCCACTGTTTGAAGTTGTTCGGTAGCATTATCATCCTGCAATTCATAAAGTTACGGAGAGTTATTTACAGACCAAGTGATGAGTCAATAATTATTATATAAAATAATAGTACATAAATACCTGCATGCATACATATAGTTGGACTCAAGTTTCTTCCAAAAAATCAAATTTTCTAATGGCAAAAGGGTAAGAAAGTAGTCTTACCTCGGAATCATTAAAGACAGCATATACATCATCAAGGTTAACATCCTCATTTTCAAAATGTCTGGCAGGTGTATAGTTCCTCCTAAACCACTCATCACTTTTGATTTCTTCCATTCGGATACGCTGTTAAATGACAGAAATATCAATAGCAGAATCATAAACAATAGAAAGGAAGTTTAGTCCGTTTATTCATTCATTATATCAGTAATAATATAGATGCCTTTAAAGTACATATGGACATGCATAAATTCATGTAATGTCAGTTAAAGTTCTCCTTTCCTGTCATTGGTCAGTGTTACCCTACATACCCTATATGTATCACGGTCACCATATAGACAGCAACTCAATCCTGAGCAGATATCATAGCTTGAGTACTTGCCCACTGGGCAGCAGCCAATTACAAATCAGCATCCATATCAATACAAACATTAGAAGACAATCTAACTTGGTTATGGATGATTTACATACATCACACAACCAAACTTTTGGCCACCAAGTTGGTAAGCTAGTATGATATTGTAAGGGAAGCATGCAGGAGCATTCGGGATGGAACTCCAGAGGATAAAAAAAACAATTAAAAAAAAACCCCCAACAGCTAGTAACTTACTCTGCAATGTGGCAAAGTGAAGTAGGAATAGTCATAATCATACCGCTACATGGGCAACTAGGATCCAGGAGAAGGAATGAGATAGATGAAGCAATACCAGACGTCGTGTTAAACATATGTTGCAGGATGATGATGGAGATGCACCATGTAGGAAAAGTATCTAATACTTGGTCACTCCAATACTTGATAGATATGTGTCCAATTTTCTACTTTTTTCATTTTTTATGCATATTCTAAATTTTCAATGTCTTACATGTATCACATGTATAATTTTACGGTTTCATATTCATCTAATTATATCTTGTTCTACCCGTATGGTGCATCGTGTATTTATGTATTTATGTTATATATGTTTAGTATGAATATTTTTATACATAAATTTTTAATATATGTGCTGAATTCATCTTCTGGATCTTAAAATTTTGTCTGCATCATCATGTTTATACTCCATGCTTTAATGTTCTTTGCACTATGAAATAACAAACTAGATTTATTGTCTTTCATGAAAAACACTAATTTTTATATGGATCCTTTATGGCAACCACCAATTACTAATGTATTTATCACACATGCAAAAGGTCCCCAATCTTTTGCGCTCTCATTCCAATTTCATACCTGCCATTTACATATTGATCAAGCACACATACTAGAGGAGTACCATCATCGATTAGGAAGGATATTTTTTAATTTGATAAAGGGATGTGCTCCATAAGTATCACTTTTATAAATGTTGAACACAGTTCATGCAATCTTCCAGGGTCAGATAGGTTTAACAGATGCCAAAAAATCAACTAATGGAAAACCACGATAAATGTTATAATCATCCAAATAACCTTACTGAAGGATTAGTCTGGCTCAGTGATGCTTGTTTGCACATGGTTCTATTAGGTGTTGCAAAAATACATTTATGGCATCTACCTATTTCTATCAGAAGAAGGAAAAACAATATGTGCTCTTAAAATTGCAACAATGAAAAAATCAGCTGGACAATAGCAGAACATGTAAACCAACTTCAGTTAACAATACACATGTAATTCCGAGAAAAAGCTTTCAATAGCCAAACTTACGTAAGAGGTTAAATATAAACTTACAGAATCAGGACAAGGATCCAAAATTCGCTGAATTAGGGATTTTGCTCCGAGTGAAAACCATGATGGAAAAGAAAATTCTGCTTTCTCAATCTAATGGAATTTCCCAGAAAACAAATCAAATTTAGAATCTGTTTCAAAAATATAAAATTTAATGAATTTATTCCTAATGAGAATGCATATAAAAAAGACAGGAAGGATTGGATGAGTTTATCATAAATAACTGCAACTTACCATAAATCACACAAACTTGCAATAAAAACACAATTAAACTTTTTTTAAAATGATAAATGAAATACCTTGCTGTATAGGGTACCCAAATCAACGTCGTCAAATGGGAGATATCCTGCCATTAAAACGTAGAGAATGATACCACATGACCAGATATCTGCAATGGCACCATCATAACCCTTATGACTGAGCACCTGGTGCAGGATATGCATTTATGAGGCTATATCATGTGCATTAGCCAGAAGGAAAAGACAAGGGTGAAATAACTAAGAGAAACACAACAAGTTTTTTTATGCAAACAAAAACTAGCAGTGACTCAGATCTGAGGAACAATTCAGCTTTAGATAGTTGAACAGAGGCTTCAGTTAGCAATTATTCACTAGTATACTATGCTAGTTAAATAAAAAAAAGAAACTCAGAGAACTTAATATCCGTGAAGCGAGGTATAATTTGGAAAATGAAAAAAACAATCATCTAATTGCAAAAATGATTTGTAATACCATAACATGGCTTCTTGATGCCAAAATGATTTAAAATATCAGTCTGTTCAACAGCTAACTAGAAATTTTCCATTGAGTACCTCTGGTGCGACATAATTTGGAGTCCCACAAGTAGTTCGGAGAAGCCTAACACCCTGTAAGGCAATAAATAAAGCAAGGCATTGCGTTAGTAAGGAAACATTTATAAAACAAAATCTAATTAGGACATAAAGGTTGGAATATTACTTGCGCTGGCAGCGCACTGAGGCCGAAGTCTGAAATTTTGAGATTTCCTTGTGAATCAAGGAGAAGGTTTTCAGGCTGTGCATGGTAGAAGAAAATGTTAAAGAACTTAAATGCAATCAAATGCAGGATGGTATTCAAAATTTCAATGCATGGAAGACCTTCAAATCTCGATGGTAAACACCCTTGGTGTGACAATATTCCACTCCGTCAATGAGCTGTTGAAAGTATCTTCGTGAATCAGTTTCACTAAGTTTTCCATGTTTAACCTGTCAGGATATTATTTATGTCACCAAACTTGGAACAGAAAGGAACATTGTGAGGAGGCTACTATTTATTCCATTCAATTTGACTTTCCATAGTGAATATCCAAATACTACGGAAGTTTATGCAGAAACCAGTTCATGTTGGCCTATTAAGTGGATTATCAACAAGGAACTGGTTCTTTAAGAGATTTGCACTAAGATTATTGGGAAACTTTTCCTCATACACCAGTTTATGAAGCAATAACAGCTCTGACAGCACAAAATGCAACCTAATTTCCGTGGACCCATGAGTCAGTTAACTCAGCACTATTTTAGGTGTTACTTCAAGCATATGGAGTCTAATCCTCCAAAATACAAAGAAAGGATCCACGAAAAATTGTTGAGCTTAAAGAACAAAAATTAAGAAGAAATTGTAGCTGTGTTCACTGTGACTTTGACCTTCCTCTTTGTTCTTAGAACCATTATCTATCGTGTACTATTGTTTACGTCAAATTCTATACTAAGTTATTTTTCGGGTTAATTTCACAAAACACACCTGAACTATTTCAGGAGGGGGCCGGGGGGGAGTTTACACATAACCCCTCGAACTTTGTTTATCTTACATATCCCATAAACTACGGGATGTCTCACAAAAACCCCTGAACTTTAGCTTATCTCACCTAATCCCCATGCCTGTAATTTACAGATAACTAAAATTTTCTTCAGAGGAAGAAAAACTCAAACTTTAGGGCAAGGAGTAGGGGTGCTAAACCGTATCCGTATATGAGGAAATATCCGTAATCATATCCGTTAGGATACGGATATGGTTACTCAAATCTATAACCAATAGGATATGGTTACGGATATCATTTTGTAGTGAAATATCCGTATCCGTATCCAAAATATCCGAATACATATTAGTCATATTGTCACAATGGTTTGAATCTTTAGATTATGGATTTGAGGTTAATTTTGACGTTTTAGATATCTAATCTTAACTTTTCAGATATAATGAACATATTAATGAACCCTTTTATATCATATCAACTATATTTTTTTCAACATTATCTCGTTTTCTCATATCCGTCTTATATCCGCATGTATATCCATATCCGTATTCGATTTTAGCGGATATGGATATGAATTTTCCTTACTAAGGTATACATGTATCTGTATTCATATCCAAAATGAGTAAGCAAATATGGATATGATAAGCATCATATCAGAGTCGTATCCGGACCAAATGCACCCCTAGGAAGGAGTATGTTGCTTATAAATGACAGGTGACAAAGTTTGGGGTTTTTTTTTACTGGTAGACATTTTAGTTATTTGCAAATTACAGGCAAGGGGTTAGGTGAGATAAACAAAAGTTTTTTTTACTGGTAGACATTTTAGTTATTTGCAAATTACAGGCAAGGGGTTAGGTGAGATAAACAAAAGTTGAGACAACCCACAGCTCCCCGCGTGCATTGCAAATTACAGGCAAGGGGTTAGGTGAGATAAACAAAAGTTGAGACAACCCACAGCTCCCCGCGTGCACGCGGGGGTGTTGGGGGGTGTCGGGTTATGTGAGATAAATAAAATCCAAGGGGTTTATGTGCAACACCCCCCAAAGTTGAAGGGGATTTTGTGAAATCAACCCTTATTTTTCATTTTGGTGCTTCCAGTCCTACATATGATAACATCTGGATGTGACTCTCTTATATGATGTCCCTGGACTAAAATATCTTATATACATTTACCTCCTACCTACTTTAAAAAAAAAGAAAAAGGATACAAAATCAAGAATGGCAAGCATCAAATAAAAAAATAACACAATTGCAGAGCTGATAAAAATAGTAAGATAATGAAGCCTCACAATTTTATCGAACAATTCTCCGCCCGTAATGAATTCCAATATTATGTATATCTTCGTTCGGCTCGCCAACACCTGCACAAACGACACAAACACACAAACCACATTAGTTTCAACATATCGAGAACATCAAATTTCCAAAAGGAACCAAATTCAATCAAAATACAAACCTCGTGCAGACGAACGACGTGCGGGTGCCTCACAAGCTTCATTATAGAAATTTCCCTCTTAATCTGCCCAAAAAAGAAGCAAAAAATCCAACTTTTTTTTTTCAAAATTCAGAATGCTCGATTAATCAAAATAGAGACTTTGACAGGTTCGAACCTGGTCGACCATCTTATGCTTGATGATGGTAGCTCGATCGAGCACCTTCATGGCGACGCTCTCCCCAGTCTCCGTGTTCTGCGCGAACTTCACCTTCGCAAAAGTCCCCTCTCCGATCGTACGGCCGACTTCATACTTGCCGACTTTTCGAGCCACCATCGTTCTCTGCTTCTCGATTTTAGTTGTTTTTTAGGGTTTTAAGAAGAAAAAAGCGCCATTTTTAAGCTCCGAAAACAGTGGGATTTTTATTTAATTTTATTTAATTTTTTTTTTCCTTTTCCCCCTTCAGATGCTGTCGTGAAAAGGAAAGTGGGCATCGCTTTCTTCGCACTGCAAGAAGAAATGGATAAAGAAATAAATACTGGGTGCTGCTTCGGCAGAAAATTGGGGGGGTGGGACACGTGGAGATCTGGGATTGGAGGAGGGTGGCCGTTCAGACAAGTACCGGGAACCGGTGGGCTGGGGCCCAGAGGGAGGTGATGGACGGGAAAGGCGTATGGTTTGTTGTGGTTTGGATGTTTTTCGTGCTTGGAAGTACAAAAGAATTGGACATGAAAGACAGGTAAGATGCATCATCTTTTCCTAAAAAATGTAAGGGCGATGTTAGTTGCTTGTAAAATTCATATTATATTACTTTGTATTATGATTAAGAAAATAATACTGTGGTCTTAGAAACTCACAATTTCTCATAGTGATTAGTAGAGGAGTTTCACATTTTCTCATAGTTAATCCTCAATTGTACAAATACTCATTTACTTTTTTTTTTACTTCCTTCGTATGCGATTTTAACCGAAACATCATACGGATACCAGGAGGAAATTAGCTATTGCATGTCTTGACAGAAATCCTTTTTTTTTACGTGGTAACTTCTCCATGATTATTCAAACCATGCGCATCAACCCCACGGGCGTGGTTAAGGGGCACCACCCAACACACGACCTCAAAATATTATAGTAAATTAATTTCCCGCGGATGCTCCCTAAAAAAGTTGAACATGAGACTTTGTTGTACTACTCACATGCAGCTTCTAACGCAGTGGGATCCTTTGGGTGTCTAGCATGAGTCTTGAATCGGCAAAAAAAAAAACAGAATTATATGTGAACCAGTTAAAAGTTAGTGAAAATAGAATTAAATAAGCCGCAATCAATAATTTTAAGATTGGCATTGCGATACACGGCCGCTCCTTTTACATATGATTTTATATAAATAATCTTCTATTTGATTTTCCTTTTACAATATTCGCCTGAGATTGGTGGGTCCCATTCCATCAAGCCTAATCATTCGCATCCGATTCCTTGTAAAAATGTGATAAGATACGTATAAATAAGGTGGTGCATAGGCCTGTCCATCCGGGCCGGGCCGGGCAAAACCGGAGTCCGGACCCGGACCCGGGTACCCCGGGTCGGGTCCGGGCCCGGGGCCGGGTTCCGGGCCGGTCCGGGTTTTTTTTTTTAATTTTTTTTTCCAAATTTTTAAATTTTATTTAAGTTTTAAATTATAAAAAAAAACAAAAAAATAATAGTAAAATAATAATTTTATTAATCACTTAAAATAACATAAATTACAAATAAAAAATTATAAAAAATTTTTTTTTATTAATAATTAATAAATCATTTATAAATTACAAGTATAAATTTATTTTGGAATTCATCGCATCACAATAGATAAGTACATCCCACCTAGGTTTTTTTAAATTTCTTTTCTTTTTTTTTATAAAAAAATGCTAAAAAATAGTTTAATATTATTATATTTTATATAATTATGTATTAGTATATACTTCTAAATTATTATGTAACTATATATTATATATACCTATATTATATGTAAATATATTGTATATATTTATAAGTTATAATTTAAGAGAGGGAGAGAATCGCATAAGTAACCCTGTAGCCGTTGCTCGTTGGGCCAATGGGGAAGTAACCATTGTAATATACTATACTTATATACTAAGAGAGAGAGTATACACACACACATATATAAAAGAGTATACTTATATAATAGGGAGTATACATATATAAGAGAGAATATACTTATATATACATATATACTAAGAGAGAGAGAGAGTATATTAGTATATATATATGTATATACACATATATTATACATATATAAGAGAGTGTATACTAATATATACTTATATAAGAGAGAGTATACATATATAAGAGAGAGTATACTTATATATACATATATACTAAGAGAGAGAGTATATATATACATACATACATACATTATACATATATAAAAGAGAGTATTCTTATATATATATATATATATACTTATATAAGAGAAAGTATACTTATATATACTTATACATATATATACTTATATAAGAGAGAGTATACTTATATATACTTATACATATATATACTTATATAAGAGAGAGTATACTTATATATACTTATACATATATATACTTACATAAGAGAGAGTATACTTATATATACTTATATACTAAGAGAGAGTATATATATACACACACATATGACATATTATACATATATAGAAATATATTATATATACATATATTATATATATACATATGAGTATACTTATATATACATATATACTAAGAGAGAGTATATATATACATACATGCATACATTATACATATATAAGAGAGAGTATTCTTATATATACTTATATAAGAGAAAGTATACTTATATATACTTATACATATATATACTTATATAAGAGAGAGAGTATACTTATATATACTTATCCTAGTGGTGCATTTATGCGTGTGCTTTAGGACTCGATAGAATATGTTCTGCATGCTCCACTAAAATCGCAACTGATTGCGCGAAAGAATGGGATCTCTTTTTATATCAAGATTTATAAGATTAATACCACTACTTGGAAGTAGTTATTGTTATCTCTTTTTCTTTTGTTAAAGAGGGTGGTGTTAAATATTCCTTGAATTTGTGGTGATTCAAGCGGGCTCTTTTTTAAGATAAAAGTACGGTGAGGGGCCCTGCTAAAAATGTGTTAATATAGAGGCTTTGGTGTGATTTGATATTGATATTAAAGCAGGAGAAAAACAAAGAGATATTACCGGTGAACTAGGAAAGGACTCTTAACGGACAACTTCATGGAGGATTCGTAGAATCACGAGCTACACGTCTCTCATCAGTAATACCCAGTTTTGGCTGAAATCCGAAAATAATCAACTTCTAGTTTATTTTTAGTAATAAAATTAGAGTCTATTGAAATTAGAAAATAAATTTAATATTAGAGCCCAATTAGATTAGGAAACAAATTCAATTTTGATTCATGATTTGTTTCCTCTATTATATGGAGTCTTTTTAGGATAGAATTTGATACTTTCTAATTTTTTATAATTCTAGTCTTAGTAGGAGTTTTATTTGTTTTTCTATTTAAGAAAAGTCATGTAACCCCAAAGGAGAATAATAACTTTTGATCAATAAAATTTCTCTTTTTCGATATTTTCTTTGTGGATTCGAAGATTGTTGTTAGGAGAGGATCTTGTCGCCATTTGTACTACTGCAAGAGTATCGTTCGGATGTTTCTTGCTGATCTTCAAGATATTAAACAAGAATAATCACCAATTATGAGTTGACACGAATAAAAGGGACAACGAGTCATCTTCTCTTGGACCTTTTTTCCAGAAGAATATTTCTCATATTTAATTTTCTAATATCAATTATGACAAAAATTCCGAAGGTTAATGTAACAACTAGTTTAAGTGTTGAATGAACTCATGTTGTCTCTACGTAGACATAGATGTAAGTAATTCATCAAAAATTACATAATAAGCACACGTATGAGTTGCATAGTTATGCGAAAGAGAGCTGAAGTTGTGCTTGTTTGTCCAATAAAGACGCAAGTCCAGCGGAAAAGGTTATGGACATGGGCCACGTGACTGTGTTAGGCTTCATTGGTTTTTTAGATCCACACGATGTTGCATTCACTCGAACAAACCCATTAGAGTCTCATAAGAAGTGGGCTTGCAAATCAGTTCAGGCCAAAATACAACTGCCACCCAAACATAGGCCCTTTTACAAGTTGGGCTTAGATGGTTAGTCACTTAGCCCAATGGTACATATTTGATATTTCAGCCTAAATTAAGAAGGGTGTTCAAATAGGTGAGAAAACTAAGGAATAGAAACTAAGCACGTGACACACCCACGTGGGTGTCATTTCCCCAAACAGTCCATGAAAATAAAATCAGGCAATGATGCACGTCAAAACAAACAAGAACGTAAAAAATATTAATCACAAGTTCGAATAAATAAATGCTGCAGTTGTCGTTTACCTATTATTGTCATGGCCCATACAGTACATCAGATCCAATAACATCCCACGTAAGGCCCATGAATAAATTATTAGAATAACTTTAGTAAAAATCCACGGCATCCGTTTCCGATCATCTAATCAACCAGAACATCAAACGGTTAAATCAACTGATCCCGCCCTGTAACGTGGGTGTATCGGACCACTGAAAAGCGGTAAATTTCCCCGTTTTGTGTTCCATTTAAAACACAAGATCGTGCGAGTTGGTGAAGAAAAAATGGCGCACGTGGGACCCTTTCACCGCCCCTGACCCTTTAATGCTTCTAAGGACCAAAACTCTCGAAACCGTCCACGTGCTGAAGCGGCCATCCTTCGCAAAGAAATATCGGTCGCATGCTCATTTCTGTGCGAGCTCACGCTGGAGTTATTCCGCATCGGTAATTTATAAATTTTTGTTGGGGAGTGGTCAGAGCATCTCCAACAGCTTCCTCATTTTCTATTTTTGGAGAATATAATTAGGTTTTTGGTCCAACAGATTCCCCATCTCATTCCTCAAAATAGGGATGAAGAAGAAAAAATGGGGAAGCTTCCCCAAATCTGCAGCATTCTCCAAATTTTTGGAGGAAAAAATGAATTCTTCAAAATGGGAAAGCTGTTGGAGTTGGTGTAAAAATAATTTGGAGAATATGACTTTTGTTTCCCCATTTTGGAGAAAAATTTAGAGAAGCTGTTGGAGATGCTCTTAGAGAATCTGTCGCGTGTGTCCTAGAAATATCCAGAGTCGATTTTTACCGTACATTATTGGGCCTACACTAGAGACTTGATAATTGCACATACGCCCTTGAGCTTATAAGAATTGATTCTTTTTTCCAAGAAAATAAGAGGGCAAAATATATTCATATTAGCAGAGATATCCATACACGTTAGAGCATCTCCAACAACTTCCCCATTTCCCACTTTTGGAGAATATAGTTAGGTTTTTAGTCCAACAGATTCCCCATCTCATTCCTCAAAATAGGGATGGAGGAGAATAAATGGGGAAGCTTCCCCAAATCTGTAGCATTTTCCAAATTTTTGG